GGTAGATCAGGAAATGCCAGGTCCTAGGACCTCGGATGTGTACTGGAGCTGGTTGAAGCAGCGGTCACAGCACGTCAAAGCCCGTCTGAAGGGTCGACCCCGGTACCATCGGCAGCGTCAGCTAGTGGTGCTCTTATTTTGACGGGACGTCGTCTTGTTGGTAAACAACGGAAATCTCCAGTAGCTTCACAGTTCTCAGTTAAAGAAGAAAGCACATCTGGCCAGGCTGTACTTCTCTTTTGATGACGGTGGAACCCCGTAGGACTTCCAACTGAACAGAACTGAAGTCAAAATGGAACTGAGCTTAAAATGGTGTTGCCTTGTTTTATATCTCTGAATTGTTGATAAGTTTTAGTAAACGGGATTGGACACTTTAATTCAACAAGCCAGATTCTCTTACGGCAGCCGAAAGCTCTGATTGGTTGGAACAATGTGTCATGCGTTTCTATGGAGATGAGGGTCAGTCTGTCTGTGCAGTAGTCCTGTTTTCATTAAACACATAAATCATGACATCTTTATTCCACAGATCATTCACTTGATTATTATTGATCAACATCTGTTTCGACTAGCTTTAATAACAAATTAAGTACTTTGATTATTGAAAAGCGTTCTTCTTCTCCTTCTGGCTCTTCTCCTGGAATGTAAACAGTCTGAGGAACACCCGACCTTGGCGTTTTCTACACGGGTGTTACTGTGTACAGGGGCAGCTGTGTGGAGCTGAAAATTATGAACTTCATAACGTTACAGTAACATATCGGCATCTGCCTCTTTTTACAGCTTTTTTTAAATTTTTACATTGTCACTACGTCTGTCACATTTGCGGCGTTTCACCATAGTTTCTACATCCATCACGTCCCAGAGAAGGTTAAACCAACAACAAACCCAACGTTTGGACCTTGTAAACTACACACACCTTTCGTGCAGCAGCAGCAGCAGCGTCAATCTTTCCTGCTGGATGAGTGAATTTCTTCATCAGAGTCAATAATCTACTTCATAATCAGAGTCAGTCATGACCAGACCTGCCGGCAATTATACGTTTTATCTAATATTTGTGCTCTTCATGCTGCACGCATCTCCTCCTCTCCCCGACTGGGAGCCTCACGGCAGGAGGCGGTTTTCAAACTCTAAAAACTCCAAAACTTTGCTCAGCCTGAAGGTTCCACATCTCCACTATCTTCTGATGTAAAGTAGTAACTTCATGAGGGATCATATTTGTAGATGAGACTTGTTAAAGTCAGCAATGAGGCTTTGGCGCTTATAACGAGTAAGTCCCAACACTGACAACAACGTACTGAAACTAGAACCAACATGCATAAACAGACAGATTGGTCCCGCCTACTAACAACTGTTGGTCTTTTTAAATACGCAGTAATCATTGCTTGCCTTTTTCGCTTCATCCTGCGTCCTAGCAGCAACCACTTTGGTGCCTCTGGAGTCGGTGTTTGTTAACGTCATGCTGCATTTAATGTAATTGGAAAAAGGAGCTTCAAGCGCTAAACCTCCGATTTTGTTTTCTTTCTGGCCTTAGTTGGGGGGGACAGATCCGGGTCGATCTGAATCTGGGGGGGGGTGCAGATCCCCCCCCCTCCCCCACCCTATCTGCGCACCTGGTGAGCGAGGAGTAGTTACCACTGTGATGGCAAGGCAGAAGGCCAATTGAACCGCTGCTAGCAAACATGATGTCTCCCCTGCCTGTGAACTGGTCAGACCCGAATCCCAGTGTGTCCATCTCATTGTTCAAGCAAAAAATGTCCCTTTACCTAGAAGATGACGGCAAACAAGCACCTAAAATATGCCGAGGCATAGGTGACGAGGGCTTAGAGGCTAAATGCTAGCGGGCTAACAAAGATGTTAAAAAGGTTCCTGCAAATCTGTGGTTTTTTGAGGGACAACTGAAACTGGATGTTCAGGATTCAGACTCCACCTCATGCAGTACAGACAAGTCAGATGAGGGCATTGATGACTTTGTGACCAGAGCCAGAAAACTTGCATTAAAATGCCAGTTTACTGACCGGGAGCTGAACGCCTTGAGCTAATCATAGCCAGCACACCGCATGATGCTTTTAGACACGTACTATATGGAAAGGGTGCTCACTGGGTGAAGTACTAGCAGAGGGTGGAAAAACATGAAGCCCTAATGGCAGAAAACTTGCAAATACAACAACTTGGGCTAAAAAACACAGAGAAACATGAAAACCTGGATGCCATAAGCAGAGGTACATCACATGTTACACCACTGCTAGCATTTAATGATGTGTGTCGTTCCTATGGGAAGATGGGACACTGGGACAAATAATGCAAAAAAAAAAAAAAATAATAAAAATAAAAATCAGCAGAAGCAGCGCAATCTGCACCAAAGAGCTACTGACAGAAGTTTTTTCAGTAGTGGGTGACCATGTACTGCAAATTGTAAATAGCAGCTTGATAGCTGGGGAAGTCCCTACTCCCCTAAAGCAGGCGGTGGTACGACTTCTGCTTAAGAAATCAGGGTTGGACCCAACAATCTTGTCCAATTACAGACCTGTATCTACACTCCCTTTCATCTCAAAGATCATAGAAAGGGCTGTGTTTATCCAATTGACATCTTTTCTACAGGAATGGGAAATTGGAGAAGTATTTGTGTCTGGGTTTAAGCCCTTTCATAGCACTGAATCTGCACTGCTTAAGGTCCTTGATGACATTTTATTGGCAAATGATTCCGGTGATGCTGTAGTTCTGGTGCTCTTGGACTTGACATCAGCCTTTGATACCGTTGATCATGGCATCCTAATAAACCGGCTGGAGCGGTCTGTGGGCATTTCAGGCCAGGCACTTAAGTGGATAAGATCCTACTTGACTGGGAGGAGTTTTTGTGTGAGGTTGGGGGACTGTTCCTCCGATCTGGCTGAGCTTCCTTGGGGAGTTCCCCAGGGATCGATTTTGGCCCCACTATTTTTCTCCTTGTATCTCCTACCCCTGGGTGAACTATTCCGTAAACATGACGTGTCTTTCCATCTATATGCTGATGATTGCCAGGTCATTTTTCCACTTAAGCGTGGTGGCTTATGCACCATTCAACCTCTATTGGACTGCCTGGAGGACATCAAGCTATGGTTGGCTCAGAACTTCTTGTGTTTTAACAAACACAAGACTGAAGTTATTCTGTTTACGCCACCTAAGACCCCAGGAGGTGCCCAAGGGCTTGATTTTTCCTCTCTGGCACTGCATCAGAAGGCGGTGGTCACTAACTTAGGGGTAAAACTGGACGCAGCACTCAGATTTGATGCTCAAGTGAATGGTATTGTGAGATCTTGCTTTTTTCATCTACGCCGCATAGCGAAAATTAAGCCATTTCTGTCCCATAGTAATCCATGCCTTTGTAACCTGCAGGCTGGATTATTGTAATTCGCTATATGCGGGGCTTAGGCAAGCTCCAATAGCACGCCTCCAGGCGGTTCAGAACTCTGCAGCTCGGTTGTTAACATCTACCTGGAGGTCTGAACATATTACACCAGTCCTACGCGCCTTGCATTGGCTCCCTGTCTTTTATCGCATCAGGTTTAAGGTCATCCTGTTTGTGTTTAAGGCATTAAACTCAGGGGCACCTAAATATCTTGCTGACATCATCCACCAACATGTCCCGGTGTGTTCCTTTAGGTCAGCTGACCAGAGGTTACTAACTGTGCCTAGGTACAGCCTGAAGTCTCGTGGGAGTCGTGCCTTTTCAGTACTTGGACCAACTACCTGGAATGAGCTGCCAGCTTATGTAAAACAGGCTAAGTCATTAGAAACCTTTAAAGGAAGACTAAAAACACATCTGTTCTCGCTGGCGTTTGGACTCTGAAGTTGTGGGAAGTAGGCCGGATATTGGACTGCTAACTTGCACTCAGGTTTTCGTATTGTATTTTAAATCGATTTCTTATTGTATTTTAAACAGATTTCTTATTGTATTTTTAATGGTCATTTCTCTGTCCTATTGTGGTGCTTTTTATTGGTGTACAGCGCTTTGTTTGTCCATTTAGGCCATGTGAAAGTGCTCTATAAATAAAGTTGATTTGATTTGATTTAACGAAGTAAGGCCCATCCAGCAAAAGGTGCTCACCACAAAGATTTGTTCCAATGCCAATCATATAAATATGACTACAAAAAGACAAGCAAACTCAACTTTGATGCTATACACACAAGTGAATCTAGTGATGAAGAAATGTACCAAAGGCAGTTCTACTCAAAGTGAGTGAAAAATATCTGCACAGCATTGAGTCAAAAAAAAATTGAAAATGTACTAAACGTGAAGCCACAAGGTCTACCTGACCATGGACACACACTGCGCCTGAAAATTGATACAGGTGCATCGGGCAATACGTTCCCTATGCTCACATTCAGACAGATGTAGGGAACCAACAGTCATGTTGTGGACAAACTACAAAAATGCCATGTTAAACTATCTGCATACAGTGGCCACAGAATTCACTGTTATGGCAAAATAGACATTCTATGTCAATGGAAGGATTCTGACTGGATCAACACCAAGTTTTATGTGGTGGATGTACCTGGACCAGCGATAGTCGGGCTACCCAACATGTGAGTAACTGAAGCTGGTCACTGTAAATGTGGACTCGGTGAGCAATCACAAAAACACATCAGAGCTTAAGAGGCTTGACTCACAAAAGAAAATATCCAGAACAGAGGATTTAAAACAAGCATTTCCTGATGTAGGGTTAAATATTGTTGCTTTTAAGCTTAATATTTTACTTTTACTTGTGACCAATAAGCTGATACTCTATGTAAATATAGAATATCAACCTGCTTGTTCTTTGTTTCCCATCCCATTATCACTTGTAAGTTGCTTTGGACAAAAGCGTCTGCTAAATACATAAACATAAAAAAGGAAGTTAACATTTTAGTTAAATTTTATGAGCAGAGACCAACAGGTCACGCTTTGGGAAGATTAGGTCCTAAAGCGTTCACAGAATGCAACCAAACAAGTATTTCTATAAGCACGAGTTAGGTATTGTTATAAATCAGTTGCTGCAGGAGGGAGGGTGCCGCTATATAAAGGCTGACACAAACACACAACTGACTTCAGTGCGTAAAGGAATCATCTTGAGTTTCCTCCAGTTTTACCAGGTAGATGTTTTTTCTTACAGGTTTCTGTTCAGTTATGGAAAAGATGCATTTAATGATTAAAAGCAAAAAATATGTTCTTGCTGGCAGCAGTTCAGAACTAACATCCTTAATCTGCAACTATGATGAAGCTGGTAAGTAAAAGCTGTATTAATGTGTGCGTGTAAGCTCTGATGTTGCACTAAACCTTCATAAAAATTCATTTAAAATATTTCTGTCATAGCTGACCATCGTTTTGGGTGCAGCGATGCTACTCGGTATGTCCAATTTAAGTTTTAGTTTTGACAAGTTCATAATTTATTGTTGCTAGGTAAATAATCTGATTTTGTTCCAATAGGCTTCATGGAACCACTGATGGGAGGTGAGAAAGCCCAGATTTTTGTTACCAAGTAAAAAAGTCTTTAACATATGTTATCAGTTAATGGACATAAAACGAATCAGATGTGAACATGGTTTGAAACTATGATTCTTACACTTAAATAAATCCAAGATTCTGATTTAAAATCTATTTCCTGTTAGAAAAAATCTTTATTAAAACACCGTTTTACAGCTGGCCACCCACCATGCTGGACCCGTTGGTACAACTCAGACAGTCCCAACAATGGACCAGGTGACATAGAGCTTTTAGCTGACCTGACTCATGAGTATCAAGGAGAAATTTGCCCCGTACCGATGAAAATCCAGGTCGAGACTGTTGACGGTGTTCCAGCCAACAAGACGGGACAGATATTCCACCTGTGAGTTGTTTTACATTGACATGAAATCTTCATCCTTAAACGCTGATTTGATTCTTTCTCCAACAAAAAAGTGTTTGGCGCCATTTTGGAAATTTGACACTAAAAGCAGCAATGTGGTCATTATTTGGTATCAACTGTTGTCTTTCAGCTACTCCAACACCGGAGGGTTCATTTGTCGGAATGACCAGCAGAGTTCTGGCAAGTGCCTGGACTACAAAGTTCGCTTCCAATGCCAGTGTAACTCCAAGGAACATCTCTACTGCTGTTATTGACGAGACAAAAGAAATTAAAGTTGTGGGTTTTGCCAGCATGCCTAATTCTTCTTTTTAAAATTTTCCTCATTAAAATATTGATTCAAAGTCCAGGGTCTGGCTCTTATGTGCCACTGGTGCTTCCTAAAAGCTGTGTGAATTAATGAAGTGCAATAAAGAAAATCTTGAAAATCTGATTTTTATTTTTGTCTTTTATTCCCTAATTTGGCATATTTAGTTCGAGCCTTCTATTGAGTTTTCATTTATTCTGAGACACATTTACAGTCAAATGAGTCCAAAATAATAAAAACAAATCATTAAATTATTGAGCAATCTTCACATAATTAGGTATTAAATAATGAAAATAAATAGTAAACAATTGCTACAAACATTTATTCATCAATCAGTGAATCTACCTCATGCGCCCTCACCCTGCACCGTCTCCACCCCGCATACGTCCCACGATGCAGGATAATGTGCCCTACTATCTCCAGTTCCCCACATTCACACCTCCCATCTGGGTGTTTCCCAACCAAAAACATCTAATGATTTCACTTACTCCACATTTACCTGCGTGCTGTTTGATCCAGTGTTATTTAGCACATCTGTCTTCCATTTAGTAATCAGCCCAGCTGTTTTCCATCAGTAATCTTCCTCCTCACTATATAAACCCTTGGTTTGAAGTTCACTTTTAGACAGATTCTCCTGTTTGTTCTGTGTTGTAGCTGGTCTGGGCTGCTTGTTACTGCAATAATGATCAAGCAGGTGAGAGTTAGCTTGTAGAGCTAATATCACAAAAAACATGTTAGTTTAGTTTGACATTGCTTAAATGAAACGATTTATTATTTAACTAATTCACTGCCATTGACGACTAAAGTCGTCATTTTAGATCCAACCGTTCACTGCCAATGACTACTAAATTCGTCATTTACATTTTTTACTGTTTGAGCATCGGAACGAGCCCCCGTGCTGAGAGAACAAACATCTCAGCCCTGAAGCCGATCTTCATCCGCATACGTCACAGATCACATGATCAGGAAGCAACACATCCATGTGTTTGGAGATCGTTTTGGGCCGTTCCTGTAAAAAAAAAGTGAGGCGCGAACCGGAAAAGCGTCTGCCGATCACAATTCGACAACGGATTATGAAAGAATGGATAATGCTCGAAACTTCTTCCTGATGTAAGAGGTGAGTCTCTTCTTTATTTTGGCATCGACATCATGCTAGTGCGCAACGTTCTGCGACTCTTAAAAAAAACTGTAAAAACGGTGAGAAACGCTGGTAGCGAAGGCCGTTAGTAATCAGGAAACGGCTGGCAGTGAATGACTTATAAACTAACTTTCTTGCAGTTGAGCTTCACTTTTGCCTCAGTGTTGCTGCTTGGTAATTTCAATTTCTCAAACTATCGTCAGAATTGATCTGTTTGAATGTGAAATCACGAACTGGTATAATTTTCTCTTTCAGTTTATGTGAAGCCCAGTGAAGAAGGTAAAGGCAAGCACTCTATAACTACCTGATTTGGTCCCTCTGCTGAAGCTGTAAATGCTGCAACAATCTGCTAGAGATGCCGATTAGTAGATTAAACTGTAGTTTGGTTAAGCTAGTGTTGCTAATTGTGTGTTGCATAGATCCTCATCAACCAGCTTGGGACTTCTTTAAAACTGTAAATGCTAACATGATCTGTTAAGAGAAATTATTTTAAATTAAATCTATTTGTAGATCAAACTCTAATCTGGTGATGCCGTTCTTTAATGTGAATATTTATAGATCCTCATAATCCCCATCACCCGAGGCTCTGCTGGACTAAGTGGTACAACAGAGACCATGCTGGTGGACAAGGTGACTATGAGACTCTGAAGGACCTAAGGAAAGGGAACCCTGGATAAATTTGTCCCAAACCTTCAGAAATCCAGAATGTTACCGTTCACGGAGGGTTCCCGGCTGAAAAGACGAACCAAAAGTTTTATGCGTGAGTTTTCATTAACTTGATGGATCTCTGCACACATGTAAATTTTATTTGGGCTGTCAAAATGCCAACATGTACTTGTACTACTTCCAGCTACAACACCAATGTGGGTTTCATTTGTCACAATGAGGACCAGAAATCTGGCAAATACAAAGACTACAAAGTCCGCTTTCATTGTCCATGCCACTGAGCAGAATGCTGGTGTTTTTTTCTCAACTGTAGAAAAATAAAACAAATGTGCTCAATGTAGTCTGAACGTCTTTGCAAATTTTGGTTTTGAGCTTGAGATGTAGAACTTCATAGGTGTAGAGAGCTTAAGACATGCCCAGTATTTACAATTTTTGGAACATAAGCTTGGAGCAAGTCTACTTGCTGTTAAAGGGAAAATTGGTGTCTGCCACCATGTAGAAAAACTACAAACCTCCTGGACTAAGGTCATGTCTAAAGCAAAAAACTAAAACAAGAGTACTTGGTGTGATTAAAGCTCATTGTGTATGGTGCACAATGTAGAGTGATGGGAACTTGATGTAAGTTCAGCCATAAAGAGACTACCTCTACCCTTGATGTCATTACATCTCTAACAATTTGTGGTTGCAGCGGTGCTAGGAGTTGTCAAAGGAAGAATCTTTTACCTGATGAGCGAGGAGTAGTTTCCCCCCCGTGTCTCTTTCAGACCACAGTGATGGCTAGGCAGAAGACTAATTGAACCGCTGCTAGCAAACATTGTGTCTCCCCTGCCTGTGAACTGGTCCGACCCGAATCCGAGTGAGTCCATCTCATTGTTCAAGCAAAAAATGTCCCTTTACCTAGAAGATGACTGTAAACAAGCACCTAAAATATGCAGAGGCATAGGTGACAAGGGCTTAAGAGGCTAAATGTTAGCGGGCTAACTGAAGATGATATAAAGGTTCCTGCAAATCTGTGGATGTTTTTTGAGGAACAACTGAAACTGGATGTTCAGGATTCAGACTCCACCTCATGCAGTACAGACAAGTCAGATGAGGGCATTGATGACGTTGTGACCAGAGCCAGAAAACTTGCATTAAAATGCCAGTTTACTGACCGGGAGCTGAACGCCTTGAGCTAATCGCAGCACACCGCATGATGCTTTTAGACACGTACCATATGGAAAGGCTGCTCACTGGGTGAAGTACTAGCAGAGGGTGGAAAAAATGAAGCCCTAATGGCAGAAAACTTGCAAATACAACAACTTGGGCTAAAAAACACAGCGAAACATGAAAAGCTGGATGCCATAAGCAGAGGTACATCACATGTTACACCACTGCCAGCATTTAATGATGTGTGTCGTTCCTATGGGACACTGGGACAAATAATGCAAAAAAACAAAACAAAACAAAAAAAATTCAGAAGCAGCCCAATCTGCACCAAAGAAGTAAGGCCCATCCAGCAAAGGGTGCTCACCACAAAGATTTGTTCCAATGCCAGTCATATAAATATGACTACAAAAAGACAAGCAAACTTAACTTTGATGCTACACACACACAAGTGAATCTAGTGATGAAGAAATGTACCAAAGGCAGTTCTACTCAAAGTGAGTGAAAAATGTCTGCACAGCATTGAGTCCAAAAAAAATTGAAAATTTACTAAACGTGAAGCCACAAGGTCAACCTGACCATGGACACACACTGCGCCTGAAAATTGATACAGGTGCATCGGGCAATACGCTCCCTATGCTCACATTCAGACAGATGTATGGAACCAACAGTCATGCTGTGGACAAACTACAAAAATGCCATGTTAAACTATCTGCATACAGTGGCCACAGAATTCACTGTTATGGCAAAATAGACATTCCTTAATGGAAAGATTCTGACTGGATCAACACCAAGTTTTATGTGGTGGATGTACCTGGACCAGCGATAGTCGGGCTACCCACATGTGACTGAAGCTGGTCACTGTAAATGTGGACTCGGTGAGCAATCACAAAAACACAGAGCTTAAGAGGCTTGACTCACAAAAGAAAATATCCAGAACAGAGGATTTAAAACAAGCATTTCCTGATGTAGGGTTAAATATTGTTGCTTTTTAGCACATTATTTTACCTTTACTTGTGACCAATAAGCTGATACTCAATGTAAATATAGAATATAGAATATCAACCTGCTTGGTCTTTGTTTCCCATCCCATTATCACTTGTAAGTTGCTTTGGACAAAAGCGTCTGCTAAATACATAAACATAAAAAAGGAAGTTAACATTTTAGTTAAATTTTATGAGCAGAGACCAACAGGTCACGCTTTGGGAAGATTAGGTCCTAAAGCATTCACAGAATGCAACCAAACAAGTATTTCTATAAGCACGAGTCAGGTATTGTTATAAATTAGTTGCTGCAGGAGGGAGGGTGCCGCTATATAAAGGCTGACACAAACACACAACTGACTTCAGTGCATGAAGGAATCATCTTGAGTCTCCTCCAGTTTTACCAGGTAATGTTTTTTCTTACAGGTTTCTGTTCAGTTATGGAAAAGATGCATTTAATGATTAAAAGCAAAAAATATGTTCTTGCTGGCAGCAGTTCAGAACTAACATCCTTAATCTGCAACTATGATGAAGCTGGTAAGTAAAAGTTGTATTAATGTGTGCGTGTAAGCTCTGATGTTGCACTAAACCTTCATAAGAATTAATTTTAAATATTTCTGTCATAGTTGACCATCGTTTTGGGTGCAGTGATGCTACTCGGTATGTCCAATTTAAGTTTCAGTTTTGACAAGTTCATAATTTATTGTTGCTAGGTAAATAATCTGATTTTGTTCCAATAGGCTTCATGGAACCAATGATGGGAGGTGAGAAAGCCCAGATTTTTGTTACCAAGTAAAAAAGTCTTTAACATATGTTATCAGTTAATGGACATTAAACGAATCTGATGTGAAAATGGGTTGAAACTATGATTCTTACACTTAAATAAATCCAAGATTCTGATTTAAAATCTATTTCCTGTTAGAAAAAATCTTTATTAAAACACCGTTTTACAGCTGGTCACCAACCATGCTGGACCCGTTGGATCAACTCAGACAGTCCCAATGACGGACCAGGTGACATAGAGCTTTTAGCTGACCTGACTCATGAGTTTCGAGGAGAAGTTTGCGAAATACCGCTGAAAATCCAGGTTAAGACTGTTGACGGTGTTCCAGCCAACAAGACGGGACAGATATTCCACCTGTGAGTTGTTTTACAGTGACATGAAATCTTCATCCTTAAACGTTGATTTGATTCTTTCTCCAAAAAAAAGTGGCGTTATTTTGGAAATTTGACACTAAAAGCAGAAATGTGGTCATTATTTGGTATCAACTGTTGTCTTTCAGCTACTCCAACACCCAAGGGTTCATTTGTCGGAATGACCAGCAGGGTTCTGGCAAGTGTTTGGACTACAAAGTTCGCTTCCAATGCCAGTGTAACTCCAAGGAACAGGTCTACTGCTGTAATTGATGAGACAAACAGAATAAAAGTTGTGGGTTTTGCCAGCATTCCTAATTCTTTTTTTTTTATTTTCCTCAATGAAATAATGATTCAAGGTCCAGGATCTGGCTCTTATGTGCCAATGGTGCTCCCTAAAAGCTGTGTGAACAAGCATCGTGCAATATATATATATATATATATATATATATATATATATATATATATATATATATATATATATATATATATATATATATATATATATATATATATATATATATATATATATATATATATACTTTTGGGGAATTAATGAAGTGAGATAAATAAAATCTTGAAAATCTGATTTTTATTTTTGTCTTTTATTCCCTAATTTGGCATGTTTAGACTGAGCCTTCTATTGAGTTTTCATTTATTCTGAGACATATTTACAGTCAAATGAGTCCAAAATAATAAAAATAAATCAATAAATTATTGAGCAATCTTCAGTAATAATTAGTTATTAAATAATGAAAATAAATAGTAAACAATTGCTACAAACTAGTGATGGGACGAACGACACTGGCGCGTCAGCACAGTGTCGACTGCACAAGAGTGAAACCCCGTATCGGTGCGTGTATCGCTTTAAGAAAATATCACGTGACCGACACAGGATTGTGTGTTGTTTGGATGCGCCGCGCCAAATTGTGTTTATAAGGAAACAAACTGTATCGACATGTTGCGGATTTGTTGGTTAGAGTTTTGCTGTTTGATTTTGGATTTTTCCTTACTCTCACGCTCACTTTTCTCCGCTGACTTCATGGATCGTTCCTAGAAGTTTTCCCCAGTCTGGAATAATTTTGATCTTTTGACGCCAAAAAAGGTAAATTGTTTTCTCCATTTGGCAACGTTTACTGTTATTTCTGTATTGTAAATGTGTTTGTAGTCTTTCTCTGGTAAGAGGCTTAAATTGTTTTCAGATAAATTAACTATTTATTTTATTGTAGGTGAAGTGTCGGCTCTGCTCCACAGAGCTGTCTTACTCAAATAAGAGCACTTCATCAATGCTGAGGCATTAGAGTTCGGCATGGCAACGATGAATTGGTAGATACCCCAGGTATGTTGAAATTATCACCAAAAAATCTGAATTGTCAAAATTAGTCTATTACACACAAAAGGCTTTGTGTGACTCTGTAGTATTGCTTGTAAAATCCTTTTCATAAGCTTTCTAAAGCTTTTAAAAAAGTATTTCTTTTTGGCTTGCAGTTCCTAACAAGCAAGCAGTGGATGATGCTGTGGTTAAAATGATCATCAAAGACTGCCAGCCACTCACCATTGTTGAAAATGAGGGATTCAGGGAGCTCCTGAAGCTTATTGCACCCTCATATGTTCTACCAAGCAGGAAGGTATGTTTAAGAAATGTTTGCTTTAATTAATCAACTACTTTCATGGTGTGTGTGTGTGTGTGTGTGTGTGTGTGTGTGTGTGTGTGTGTGTGTGTGTGTGTGTGTAACATTGGTATTACAGTATTGGTATGTTTACTTGTAGGTCATCAAGGACTTGGTGAGCCAGAAATATGAAGAGGAAAAGGAGAAAACAAAAAAGGACCTCCAGAGCGTCATTGCTGTTAGTTTAACAGCTGATATGTGGACATCCATTAATATGGAGGCATATCTTGCCGTTACTTGCCACTATGTGGACAAAGAAAGCCATGAACTCTGTTCATCAGTCTTGGGAGTGCAGCATTTCCCTCAGAAACACACTGCAGAAAACATGGCCACAGTTAAAAGGAGCCTCATGAAGGAGTGGGGCATAGCAGGCAAAGTCAGGTGTCTTGTCACTGATGCAGCAGCAAACATGATTGCATGTGCTCGAATGCTGCAAGTACGGCAAACCATTTGCATTGCCCATTCCATAAATTTAATTGTAAGAAAGTCATGTGATCAAATCTCAACACTAACAGAACTACGCAACAAAGCACGGCAAATTGTGACATACTTTCGATCAAGCACCATGGCCAAGGAAAAGCTCACTCAAATGCAGCAACAGCTGGGAACACCATTGCATAAATTAATAAATGAGGTGCCGACACAATGGAACAGCACCTACCACATGCTGGAGAGATTGACTGAGCAGAAGGAGGCAGTCTGTGTGTCACTGGCCTCATTAAAAACTGATCTCACTCCACTGACTCCAGAAGAATTTGAAATCATTGAAGAGATGCTCAGGGTGCTTGCTCCTTTTTACCAAGCCACAAGAGAACTCTCTGAGGAAAAAAGAGTCTCGGGGTCAAAGGTTATTCCATTGATGAGAATGATCCACATTGAGCTTCAACATCAATCTTCAACGGTGACAAAACCCACTGCTAAACAGCTGGCTGAAAATCTGTCAAAGCGGCTAACCGAGTCCATCTGCAACATGGAATCGCTCAGTGTGATGTCACTGGCAACATTGTTGGACCCCAGGTTTAAAACTGCTGGCTTTTTTAGTCCACTGAAAGCAACTGAAGCTGTCAAGAGACTGAAGTCAGAGTGTGCTGCTGAAATGAGGAGCCATGAGCCTGACCCAGCAGTAGAGGAGCCTAGCACTTCACATGGATCAGAACACAGTTCAGGTATGAAAACACATTTCTTTGTGAATATTTGTTTATTTCTGCGGAAGTTTGTCATGTGATAGTAAACCAATGATTAACAGACTTATTTCCAATTTATTTGTTAGGACACAATCTCTGGAGGCACCTTGATATGGAGGTTGAGGAGAGCAGGATGACCTCTAATACTACAGCCAATTCCATAATTGAAGTCCAACGCTACCTGGCTGAAAGAAATGCACCAAGAACACAAGACCCATTACAATATTGGAAAAATAACCAGAATTTATATCCACACCTTTATCAACTCGCACTTCAATTCTTATGCACACCATCTTCATCTGTACCCTGTGAAAGAGTGTTTTCTAAGGCAGGGGAACTGGTGTCTAAGAGGAGAAATCGCCTTGGAGCAAACTTACTGCACAAACTTTTGTTCCTCAATAAAAATGCATAAATGAATCCATATTTAGTCTTTTATTTTGTATGATCTAACACAGAGGTTAACACATTTACACAAGTTAAAACTTTTACTTCTGATTTTTATTAGACACATTCAGAAGATTTAACATGCCAACTCATTGTAGCATTTACACAAAGGTTACAAGCAAATGTTAAACTCCTTTCATAAAGAACTTAACAAATTGAGTAAATTAAATTGCATAATGATATAATATTTTGATTACAGGAAATTAAATCTTGCACACCTGGTGTGGGTTTGCAGCATGTAACCTTTTCCATCTTATTTACCTGCAATGATTTTAGAAATACTGCAGGTGTCGCTATTGAGTGACCAACACAGTGTCAATACAGTGCCGACACAGTTTGGCTAGTGTGTCAATACACTCCTTAAGGTATCATCATTCCATCACTACTACAAACATTTATTCATCAATCAGTGCATCCACCTCATGCGCCCTCACCCTGCACTGTCTCCACCCCGCGTACGTCCCACGATGCAGGATAATGTGCCCTACTATCTCCCGTTCTCCACATTCACACCTCCCATCTGGGTGTTTCCCAACCAAAAACATCTAATGATTTCACTTACTCCACATTTACCTGCGTGCTGTTTGATCCAGTGTTATTTAGCACATCTGTCTTCCATTTAGTAATCAGCCCAGCTGTTTTCCATCAGTAATCTTCCTCCTCACTATATAAACCCTTGGTTTGAAGTTCACTTTTAGACAGATTCTTCTGTGTTGTAGCTGGTCTGGGCTGCTTGTTACTGCAATAATGATCAAGCAGGTGAGAGTTAGCTTGTAGAGCTAATAGCACAAAAACATGTTAGTTTAGTTTGACATTGCTTAAATTAAATTTATTATTTAAAAACGAACTTTCTTGCAGTTGAGCATCACTTCTGCCATTTCCTGCCAAGCCAGACAGGACAGCTGAATCGCAACTTCTAACGTAGACTCATACAGAGTCTTTGATTTCTGAGTGAATTAACTTAAGAAAACACATCGACAAAACGCTTTACCATCAACGTGTACCGAGGGCAACTCTGGACCGGTTCCGTTCGACACCTACGTCTTCCCTGTCAGCCGCTGGTGTCATCTGGATGAACCATCACCATCCTCCACGGCCCGGATCCGAAAGAGGGTCCACAAGAGTTCGGTGAGACAGAGCACGGTATTTAGCGTTTGATGCAGTTCTCTGATAAGACCTAAGTTTATCCAAACCATCACTTCACTCAGACACCTGTTCTTCGTGAAGCAAAATCAGACTCACACACGCATTCATATCACAACATTCTCAATCTTCATAAATTCACCACAAGGTCAATTTGATTATATCAACTGTTAAAGATTGTCCCACAAGTTGCCAATGTTGATTGTTATTCCCATGTTTGTCAATTTCAAAATCATTAGTCTAGTTTGAAGAATTAAAACTTTTAATTTCCAAACTTGTTTGTTCATTGAACTGAAACACAGATACACAGATATTATCGGCAGTTTATCGATGAAAACAACCTTTGAGTCTTCTTAACAATATAAAATTTGGTTATTGATTTATTAAAAATTAATATTCCGGATTAATACGTAGCATGGTTCCTCTTTCATAAAAGAGAATAAAACCACAACGCTACATTAATGGTGAGCCAAGCCAGTTTCTTCTAGATTAATGGCGAGCGTATCCAGACTTCTATATCTGCGATTTATCTGATTTCTAACATCTGAAAGCTACAAACAGCGCTTTTCTCTGTGTTTCACTTTGATGTCTTATTTTGAAAAACACCGGAAATTATTCCGCTGAAGTCACTCTTCCGGGAGACGTCCTGGTGGAAACTTGACCGGGAAGATCTCCGATCTCAAATTGACCGCAAATTACAGACCTAACTTTGATTTATCCCATCTTCGCCTTCGGAGCGAACGTGTGAGTTGTGCTTTTGACTAAATTCTGTCCATTTTGACGCGCCGCCGCGTCTCTAACCTCTTCAGGTCGGAAAGCGACATTTCCGCTCTGAACTTGCTGGGTGAGTTACCGTGAGCAGCTTATCCT